GGTACTCTGGGTCTTCCTCTGTGCCACGACTTCTGCAAATGTTCCTGATTCTCCATCTTATATATCTTGAGGTCCTTTCCCATTTCACCATAAACTTCCAGTAGTGACCTCAAAACTTTCATAGAAAACTTCTGATGTCCTCAGCCGTCTCACCAACCTAGAAAGTGTACGTGAATTTGTGGGGGTGTGTGAGGATTGATTGGACATGTCTCAACGCTATTGTTACTTCGTTAGAATTTCCTTCAAATTGAGACCACCTGTTATGCTCACTGCTTGTCACTTCCTCTAGGGAAACCTTCAGTAGTGTTGTAATTCTGGGATAGTTTTCCCTGAAACTATACCTATTTCAGTTTGACATGCAACTGCTCAAACAGGTTAGTGGATGACAACATATCTCTGGCACTGCATATTGTGGTAGAACATTTGGATGGTTAGTCAACCTTGTTAGGATTCTTGTTACTGATTCTTCCCAATAAATCAGGAAATTGGGTTTATGTATTTCTAAGATTTCTTGACATTTTTATGGGATGATATTAAGACTCAAAATGATTAATAGATGCACGCACAATTATCCATGTACTGCATGCATTTTATACATGTATCTTACTAACCACAAACAAATGCCTTTCAATTTGAGTCTGTGGAATTCGGGATTAAACGATTGTGCAGCGATTTGTACAAATACAGACATGTTTGCGAATAAAAATGTTCTGTTCTGCATTAATATATCATAAATTGCTAATGCAAAAAGGAATCTATGCATATGTGGATCAGGTGACACGCATGCATTAATTGATGTCTAGTTCGAGTCGATCTTGTTCGGTTCATTTGGATTTTGAGACTTCATTTTCGCAGTTTACAGCATTTCACGCTGCAGAGTTAAGAATTACATTAATGTGCAGCATTTTGATCAAATAGAGACATATTTGTGAATATAAATGTTATAGTTTGTATTAAAGTATCATGATTTGTGCATGTAGCGATTAAAATGTGCATTTGTGGATTAACCCCCTGCTTTCTTTTCTTTTCTCTTTCGCTGAGTTCTAACACTTTTGTCTTCCTTCCCCCATGTCCTTTCTCCACCTCTCTTTCTCTTTAGTGAGGTATATCTGCCTTCTTTCAGGGTCTGTATCACGATGTGCCCTGTAGCGTTGCTGCTTTTATGCAGCAGACAACAGCACCATTTCCTGACAAATACATGCATAGCATTTAAACAACTCTTTCTTGAAGGTATATAACAAATAAATGCATAATATATTAATTATAAGTACTAATACATGCTGTAAACACTTATTTACACACTAATTTATCTAGTTTTTACATCCACTGTTCCAATATGTTACAGTAACAGGAGGGACATTTTGCTAAAGTCAGCCATGTGATGAACAACAAGCTAATGATCACTGAGGAAGATTTTAAACCTGTTTATTAACCATATTTTCAAAATTACAAACAATATCAGTTTCCACTATCAACAAGCATAACAGAGTGGCCATGTTATGCTTTACCACATCAGTGAGTCATTCTAAAACATTGAAAAAAAGGTGAATTAAGCTGTGATACATAATTCTTGTAGACAGTTTGTCACCAAAAAAGTATTCTATTTCCTGAGAGTCATGTGATTAGAGGAACATTCAAAGGGTGTGTTCAGGGGGACTTTCCATCAGAGTAACGGGGGGACATTCAATTCAGGGACACAACATGTTTTAAAGACTTTAAACATTAAAAATGAATAAATAACAAAAAATATATATTTTGGTCAGAAATATTATAAATAAGAATATACAACAATATTGAAAAAAAATTGGAATTTGATTTTTATTACTTCCCAGGTAGCCAGCGCAATCGGGCCAATTGCGGCTGAGTGTCGGCTCACTCGGATGTGTTCTGGCAGCGGCTCACCGAAAGTGAGCCAGCTCTGGCCCAGTAATGGTTGCCAGATTTGGCTAGGCTTTGGATGTGCGGATCTGGCCCGATTTGCACTGAGACATGGCACATTTAGCCACATTCGGCCCGATTACGGACCATAAGTGCTGGTCTGAGATATGGCCATGCAGACCCGGACCAGTTTAGGTTGAGCGCTGGGGGTGGGTCTCTGGTACATAGTATGTAGCAGTGACACTTAAACTTAAACATAATATCTTTTACCTGCCCTCATTATGTTATTTTTAGTGTATTTTTTTATTTTATTTCCTATTAATATTTTTCCCTTTTATCCAACATTCTCTTTTTTCATTAACTACATTTGGAAATTAATTATTTAATTAATATAATGAAACAAGCTTAAAGTAGTTAAGGGAACTTTAACATTATTTTTGCTATATGAGTTTCACTAGCTTTGACATCTAATGACAAAACCTGACGGGCTTTTTGTGCTGCTAATTGCCAGAAGACCAGAAGAACTTAATACACTGGTGAGTAAACATTTGATAATCTAACATATAACATAATATTTTAATAAACCGTTCTACACATATAATATCAAAGTAATGTTTATTTATAATGAAGCTATAATTGTGAGTTTGCTGACATAGTGCTAGAGTTTAGCTCCAACCATAATCAAGCACACCTGATCCAGCTAATCAAGGCCTTCAGGATTACTAGAAACTTCCAAACAGGTGTGAGTTAGAGCTGGTTGGAGCTAAACTCTGCAGAGGTCTATAGTATTGCGACTGATCTCTTTCTTTCTTTCTTTCTTTTTTTCAATCAGTGCAAAGAAATGCAAGTACTGGCAGTGCATCAGATGGAGAGATTGGAAAGTTCATCAAAAGATGGCTGCTGCTGACTTTGGACAGAGATGGGGGAAGAAAAGAGTGGGCCCGAATGCAAACAAATTCTTCCAAAGGTATGTTCCAAATGTTAACATTTACCAGAGTTACCATTCATGTTATCAGTCTGAGATTGTCTGAATAATCACGTGTCATTGTCTGTTCCTCTTTTTGTCTCTCTTTCTGTCAATCTGTCCCTCTTTTAGGGTACGCTTACTTGAGGAAGCTCCTGGAGTTTTTTTTTTCTTTCTTTTTTTCAAATAAATTCTAATATCACTCATATTTTCATTGTCATTTTTATACTTTGGGGGGCATATGTGGCCCAATGCTGGTGGTGTTGGCCCAGTTTCAGTACCCAGACTCGGGCCAGTACTGGCTAAGTGTTTCATTTCTCGTCGGTGTGATTGTGGCCCAATGCCGGCATTTTTGGCAACCGGACTCGGGCCAGTGTATTTGGGCCGATTCTGGGGCGTCATTCATCCCATGTCCATGCCGAGTCTGGCAACCTCAGCTGGGCTGAGTTATTTCATCCGGCCTGCCGGATCTGGGCCATTATCGTGCCAAACCGTTTTGGCTACCTGGGTTATATTTGTGGTTGAAGTTATGCAAGCTTATTTGGGGACATGACAGTTTAGGCTACTTGCAATAAAATCGGAGTAACTATTTTTTGTTAAATTAATTTTAGGTACATATTTATTGTGTTCTATGGTAGAGGGGCAGTAACTATGTAAGATGAGCATGAGTATTAGCCCATTTTTACACAAAATATACCACATTATGTTATGGGGACTCTAATGGCACCGAAAGCTAGGAATGACCCATCTATGAATACAGTAGCCTATCGTTAGGCACTGTTGTTAATCGTCCACAATTTTGCGGTTTTGTCTCACTTTTAGAGTGATGACATCTTCCATCTTGCGGTCAGTTAACGATAGCAAAGAAATGAAAACCGAGGATTGTTGCAACATCCAACACACAAACTTGCCTGATCACCTGCTTTGAAAAAATTTTTGATTTTCCAGTAAAACCAGCTACAAGCTTCAAACATTAAAGGGATAGTTTACCCAAAAATGAAAATTCTGTCATTAATTACCCTCATGTCATTCCAAACCCATAAGACCTCCGTTCATCTTCGGAACACAAATTAAGATATTTTTGATGCATTCTGACAGATCTCTGACCCTCCCATAGACAGCAAGGGTAATACAACGATCAATGTCCAGAAACGTAGCAAGGAGATCGGTAAAATAATCCATGTGACATCAGGTGTTCAACCGTAATATTACGAAGCTACGAGAATACTTTTTGTGCCCAAAAGAAAAAAAAATAACGACTTTATTCACCAATTCGTCTCCTCCGTGTCACCCTAGCGCCATTTTGGAGAGTATCCACTGAATGCAAACAGCGTATGTTGTTCTGTGTCAGCCGCACCACACGGATACGTTTTCTTCGTTGTTTGTGCTTTGATTTGAACATAAAACAACGTATCCATGTGGTGTGGCTGACACAGAACAACATACGCTGTTTATGTTGTTTTTTTGTTTTGTTTTTTGCGCACAATGTATTCTCGTAGCTTCGTATTATTACTGATGTCACATGGATTATTTTACCGATCTCCTTGCTACGTTTCTGGACGTTGATCGTGGTACCCTTGCTGTCTGGAGGGTCAGAGAGTTGTCAGAATGCATCCAAAATATCTTAATTTGTGTTCCGAAGATGAACGGAGGTCTTACGGGTTTGGAACAACATGAGGGTGAGTAATTAATGACAGAATTTTTCATTTTTGGGTGAACTAACCATTTAACGCTGTTGTTTTTGAAAAGTTTTAGTGCAGTCTGACAACAAAGTGGCTTTAAAAAGTGACACAGAATGTCCAGCCTATTCACCAAGGACCATCCACTTGGAGATTTCTACAGTCTCGCCATTTGTAATACAACATTAATTATATACGTATTTTGCAGTATCAAAATGTTCAAACCTCATTCGGGAGAGAAAAAAATAAAAAATCTTACTCCCAGCCAGCCAGGTAGGCCTAATCTACGTTTCGGCGGTTATATGCCACACGAGGGCGCCGCTGACACTGTGCATGATTTTACAGGCTTCTACACTAACAATCCAGTCGCGTGTGCACTTTGGGAAACATCCATAAATTGAGTTTGGTTTGGAAAGGTGGGGAGGAGGGTGAATGCCGAGAGCCATTTATAGACAAAACGAGCAGGGAGAGAGAAATAAGATACAAAACTTGACATATCCTTTTTAGTTTCTGCAAACGTGCAAGTACAACCTGGAGTGCGCAGAAAAAGGCTAAATTATAGCACCATTTGACGCGTTGGACTGGATAAGTAACACTGAAGAAAACCAGACACATGCCATTGCTATAAATAACAGTACATAAGACAGTGGTAAGTTTACGCTCTCCATGCTTCCAAGAATTTGGAAACTTGTTTAAAGAGCCAAGTTACTAAATTAATGTTCTGTGGGTTTTCCAACTATTTATTAAGATTTGTAAATGCATACCTGACAACAATCAGTTTTTTTTTTCTTTTAGCACTTAATTTTCTAAAACGACTGCACTTTTGTGGCATAAGGAAATTTATTTTGTAAATGACGAAGTAAAAGCTGTACATTTGACATTTTGATTGTATAATCCGATTGTGCTTGGGGCGTGCGTTATAGAGCATTCTCATTTTATGACATTCATAATGAATGACATTCATTCATTATGACATTACAATAACATGTCAGATTACACACAGTCAATGCAATAATGAACATTACTGTAGTATTCATTAAATTACTTTACAACTGATAGGCAATTATCAATGACCTCATGTGCGGGCGGAGTGTTTTTCCTTTAGGAAACTGAAGTGCGCACGCGGCCAGTGAGCTGCTGAGAACGCGGTAGCAACTGCAGTCAGTGTGAAGGAAACAGCTGTGTGTGTGTGTGTGTATTTAACCAAATTTGGGGGCCAAATTTGTACTCAAAAGTGAGCTAAACCTGACAAAATCTCCAAAAACCACCCTTTGGGTTAGGGTGTGGGTTAGGATTAGTTTATAAAATCTATAACTATCTGTATATAAAAACAATAGCTTAGCTAAGTAAACGTGTGTGTGTGTGTGTGTGTGTGTGTGGAGGCTTTTAACCTTTTTAGTTCATCTAGTTGAGTGGAAGCACCATTTCAGCAGTAGGCTATAAGTCATTGCACAGTTAGTTAAACATTTTTTGAAGTTCTTAATTTGGTTAACACGTTTGTGCAGAGCCCATAAAGGGACAAAGTGATGAAAGAAAATATCCTAACCTTTTGCATTCCCCTGTGGTCCCTGATTGCGTTCCCTCTCAAGCATTTTTTTTTTCCCGGTCAAATGCCAAGTCTCTCTTATATTACAGTCCTGTACAAAAACGTTGTGTTAAAAGAACAATTTTGTATTTTTAGAAATCTCAGAGGAAGCATGGGAAATCTGATAAACACTTACTACAGTGTGGAAAAATGAAGTCTTGGGGTTAAGTTGCACCAGGGAAATAAAATGTATTCAACGTTGAGACTAAATTTACAACAAAAAATACAGAAGTTGTGCTTCTCCTCAACACTTATGTGTGTAAGTTATGAAGAATAATTTACATAACAGCTTTTAAGTAGCTTTCATGTGTGTCTGATGGTCCAAGGTTGCAGTTCAGTAAGTGATGGATAGTCGGTGTAAGAAAAGAATCTCTGATAGATTCATCAGACTGATTCAAACAGTTAACTGCTGAATTTGTAAGTCTTTTTGAACGATTCGTTAAAACCACAGACTCTTACTAGTTGTTTGTTCATGAATCAGACTGCACAGGTCACACTGTAAAGAGCGGTGCAGGAATCACTGCTTGGATCTGCAACATATCTGTGGTGTCGTATTTGTTCATGTCAGAAATATATAAATTTAAGTTACGTCACACATGAACTTAATGTGCTTTTTACTAAAGCAATTGAAATTGCTGCTTATTGCTGATGTTCTGTATATCAGTAAAAAGTTCATGCTTGCTTTAAAAGGTGTAAACTAACAGGAAACTCTTTGAATGGAACTCTATTTTTCTGTTTGATTAGAAAAAAAACTCATAGTATGCTGAATAAACTTTTGTGCAGAAACGGTTAATAAATTGACTGCCTACTATACTTCAATATGGGAAGTTATTACATTGTTTTATAAGATGAATTACAGCATTTGTCTGACATTACCGTTAATTCTTGTGGTAATGATCCAGAATGGATATACTTTACAGCAGGATCCAAGTCCATATTACAGCAATGTTAAATATATATGTTGGTGAAATCAGTCACACCGGTGACGCTCATGGTGTGCCATGAGGGTCTGTGACTATTTCTGGTGTCAGCAGGCCAGGGGGTGTGTGGACATGTGCTCTATGCGTAATAAAAATACTTCAGCCGCTTTTATCCATGTGATGAGGACAAGTATAAAAAGCTGCGTTCAAAACATGAACAGATATAAATCACAAGATTTTTTTGAAGCAACATACTTGAGCAATCATTTGGGAGATGACGCTTGCACTCCGTCCTAATTCACAGTCTCCTATTTCATTTTGCATCATTGATATGCTGTTCAAGAATTTGCTGAACAAAGAGGACAAGTCTTGACAAATTTGTAACAGTCCTCTTTCCTGCTTTCCCCCCCTGAATTCTTCTCATGTTGGCTGTTCACACACAATAGATGAATGAACCTTGGTGTCCTAAATGAGTGCAGGGTTCATGGTATGAAAAGAAGGTGTCTATTCATACCTGCTTACATTCACATTTGTGGTCTTTAGTACACATTCAAACATGAATGAGTCTCAGATGCAGGCAGTTTTTTTAATGATTTTTTTTGTGTATAAAACTTTGGACAAGTATAGGGTCTGAAAGTGTAGACCATCAAAGTCTTTTAGAAAAGTGTCAAATTTTCACTTCCATTTTCCATTTTATGTTTTCCATTGGAAAAAATGGAATTAAGTGTTCAAATGTTTTGTGTTGCATTAGCTCATTGTAATTTACCAAACTGAACAAAGAACGATGTCCCTGCCTCTTCTGATATCATTTTGTGTTTATGAATTTAGAAGCCCTATTCCGATTGTACGATATTGTATGTATCCTTTCTTGTGGTTTCTTTCATTCTCCAGTGCAATGGCTCCGTCGCTCTCGCAGGCCTACAGGAGGCGCTGGTGGATGGCTGTCACATCAATCATAGAAAACCTGCTCTTCTCTGCTGTATTGTTGGGTTGGGGCTCCCTTCTTATCATGCTGAAGAATGAGGGCTTCTACTCGCACATGTGTACAGGTACATGGTTGGAAGGCATACACACTGACAGTCTTATTCTGAGCAGTTTTATAAAACAGCAACATGATGCAAAGCGTTAAAGTATTTGATTATCTAATTCTTCCTGTGATACTATTAGAGAATGTCACAGAGGCTGACACTAATGTGAGTGTAACAGAACAGACGGTTTGGCTGAGCTGTGTTGAGCAGGAGGAGATTCTGAATCTGGGCTTTACGATTGGCTCGTTCATCATCAGCGCAGCCACTCTGCCACTAGGTGTCCTGATGGACAAGTTTGGTCCACGTCCAATCAGATTGTTTGGCAGGTGAGAGACATACAGCTATCGGTATAAAACCAGAAAAGCAAAGTTGAAAGTTGAAAACTAATGTTGAATGTTGGCTTGACAAAGTCTTGCCTGAAAGTTTTCAATAAAGACTTCAAATTTGAAGGACCGTTTTAAAGCCTACTGTACATTTAACACTACTCATGCCCTGCAACCCACATCTTGGTCACTTCCACCAACTCTCTGTTTTATGACTTTTGTAGTTCATGCTTTGCATTCTCCATGGTTTTGATTGCAGTAGCATCTTATGATCCAAAAGGTCAGTATTATTATATACTGCTAAATAATTCAATAGGTCTGTAATTAGTTAATCTGTATATTTAATGTTTTATAAGTAATGAAGGCATTGTTTCTTCTTTTCTTTCACAGTGTTATCAGCTCTCATATTTATTGCTGTGTCCATGAATGGTTTCGGAGGAATCTGTCTAACCTTCACTTCACTAACAGTAAGCCACACGTACACACAAATATATATTAAAAAAAACACATTAAAAGTAGACTGACTTGCATCAGCACTTTCTCTCAGATATATGGTGCTTATGTCAGTTCTTCTTATATATACCCAAGATAACTGTCATAATGATAACTATGCAAAGTTGCCATTTGACCTGTTCTATATTCTGAGGTCCTATTGAAGTTTTAATGTATTTGGGCACATTTGAATTATTTTGTCAGTAGGTGATGTTCATGTTGACATTTGACACTCTATTGGTGTTTAAATGTGTGTGTGTGTGTGTGTGTGTGTGTCTGTGTGTGTGTGTGTGTATACAATATATATATATATATACAGTATATATATATATATATAGCCTATAGTGTGCTGCATTTATTTATATATGTGTGTGTGTGTGTGTGTGTATACACTACCATTCAAAATTAAGAATGGTATTTAATTAAGATTTAAAAAAAAAAAGTTTTTAAAAGATATATTACTACAATTTGAAATAACTGCTTTCTATTTGAATACATTTTAAAATACATTTTATTCATGTGACGGCAAAGCTGAATTTCCAGCAGTCATAATTCAGTAGTCTTTATTGTCACATGATCTTTCAGAAATCATTCTAATATGCTGATTTGGTCCTCAAGAAACATTTCTAATTATTATCAATGTTGAAAACAGCTTTTGCTGCCTCATATTTTTGTACACTACCACTAACACATAATGATGCAATTCAAATAAATATTTTCCATTCATCAAAGAATCCTGGAAAAAAAAAGTGTAAAGGTTTTCGCAAAAATATTAAGCTGCATAAACTGTTCAACACTGAACACTGAAAATTAAGCTTTTGCCACGACAGGAAGAAATTACATTTTAAAATATATTAAAATAGAAAACAATTATTTCAAATTATAATATATTTTACAATATTGCTGTCTTACTGTGTTTGATCAAATAAATGCAGCCTTAGTTTTAAATGACTAAAAAGTCAGGATGCCTGCTTAGTAAGTGTATGTTTGTGAATCTTAAAGTGGTTGTGATAATTTATGCATGTATATTTGTGGACGTGTAAGGTGAAATGTATGACGCCTTTTGCTTAATTTGAATACTGCTTCTCATTACATAATATCAAAACACGTGATTGTTTCATTTCTTGTTGTGCATAAGATGTCAATTTCTGTACTTGCATGAGAGTTACTGCTCCTGCTCTTGTCTGTTGCTGATCACTTGAGTGCTGCGCATGTTTTCCATCCCCTCACTCTACAGTTTGGCATGCTGATCTCAGCCAATCACAGCACAGATCAATCTTCACGCCCTCTACTCCACCAAGCCCACCGTCTCCCAACACAGCGCATATTAACATGCACTGTCCTTGCTTTCTCTCACGTGTCTGTGTCTCTCACTACTACTTCTAGAGTACTGACCCAGTGACAGCTTTGTACTTCTTTTTCTTAAGAGTGTGAGTGTATGCAACTTTTGGTTTAGAGAGAAAGAAAGATGGCCAGAATGGTTGATAAATAACAAACGAGTGCAAGACTTGCAGGAACATATGCCTGATTTTTACTTAATCACTCTAGCATCTCAGCCTGTGTGTATGTATGTATTGAAATATAATTATATATTATATTATTATATAATAAATATAATTACATATTAGACAACTATATTTTAATAGTAATTAATGACTACAAATAAATTATATAAAATATTTATGTATTTATTTCATGTGATACATATATAATTATATATAAAACAAATAAATAAAATAATAGAAATAAATTAATTTATATTATTTTATTTATTTGTTTTTGTATATAATTTATTTAATGAACTACATATACAGTAAAAGCGATTATGTATAATTATATTAAATATAAATATGCATTTATTGATTGATGTACATATCATCATCAAACTGTTTAAGTATAAGCAGTAACAAACAGCCACATATATAGTGAAACTCTACTGGCTATAACATCGCTGCATGAGGCGCTGTGTCTTCACATGTTGTGTGGCTGAAGGTTATTTCCAACTTCAAGCTCCTAATGCTCTCTAGTGGCAATAGACAAACGTTACAGTTTGAATACATACATTAGTATGTTCATTTGTGATTCTTTTCTTCATGATTGATTTTCTCAGTTGCCAAATATGTTTGGAAATGTGCGGTCTACGATTCTTTCACTTATGATTGGCTCATACGCCTCCTCGGCTGTCACTTTTCCGGGAGTCAAGGTAGAGATTTTTTAAATACATACAACAACAAACACTGTAAGCAACACAGATGCAAAGATGCAAAGTATTTGGACAGATGCGTTTGTCTTGCAGTGCAGCATATGAACATAAATGTCCTCTGTCTGTCTTGTTCTCTAGCTGATCTACGATGTGGGTGTCTCATTTTCTGTTATATTCTGGGTTTGGGCAGGGTTTGCCTGCCTCGTCTTCCTCAACTGCATTATTAATTGGCCAGGAGAATCTTTTCCTGGTCCTGAGGACATCAGATACAAGTGAGTATCCATGAAAATATCCTGAAAAAAAAAAAAAAAGGTTAAGATTGATAACAATATGAAATGTTTCTTAAGCAGCAAATCAGCATATTAGAATGATTTCTGTAGGATCATGTGACACTGAAGACTGGAGTAAAAAGAAAACTGTTACAGTTAAATTCTCATAATATTTCACAATATTACTGTTTTACTGCATTTTTGATCAAATAAATGCAGTCTTGGTCTGTTATATTCTGGGTTTGGGCAGGGTTTGCCTGCCTCGTCTTCCTCAACTGCATTATTAATTGGCCAGGAGAATCTTTTCCTGGTCCTGAGGACATCAGATACAAGTGAGTACACGCTAAATGCACTATATGCCCAAAAATATTACGACACCTAAACATCTAATGTGCTTATTATTTTTTACATTTAATTTCAAAACTATATATATATATATATATATATATATATATATGTATATATAGTACCTATATAATTTTTTTCATGGGTGCCATGAATAAGATGTTGGAGTTTCTGGTTACCCATGGTGACTCTCAACGTGAGCATCAACTAAACTTTTCAAACATTATTTTGTTTTTAATGAAATTGAAAAATGTGAAAGGAAACGATTTGCTCTTTTAAATGCGTTTTCATAACTTTGCTCAAGAACAGATGGTTAAATGTAATCAGCACAAGCTTACAGGCGTTTGCTGTAGTTTTGCAGAAGCATGTGTTTGTGGCGGCGGGTGTTTGTAAGTGGGTAGTAAAGATAGTACTTTAAATTGGCTTTATATTGCATTATTTTCACCACCTGTTTGCGTCTGTTTTAGCCTCAGAGGAGTTAGTGAAGGAGGCAGATGAGAAAGGTAAGAGAGTCCTATTATTTTCACCAAACCAATATACACGTATTTTAGCTAACAACCAGTGGCCTTAAAAAAGTATTTGGACACTTATAACACACTTAAATGGATAGATCACCCAAAAATTCTGTCATTATTTGCTCACCCTCAAGTTGTTCCAATTCTGAACGAGTTTCTTTCTTCTGTTGAACTTGAACACAAACCATTTTTCTCCATTTTGGAGAATGTTGGTCACCAAACAGTTGACGGTAGCCATTGACTTACATAGTATGGAAAAAAATAATATGGAAGTTAATGGCTGCCATCAACTTTTTGGTTAACCAACATTCTTCAAAATATCTTCTTTTGTGTTCAGCAGAACAATTGGAGGGCGAGTGAATGATGACAACATTTTTATTTTTGGGTGAACTAACCTTTCAATGTATCAGTGACATTACATTAGATAACAAAATGTCAAACCGAGGATTATTTTGTTTAATATGTGGATGTCTAATACAATGTATCAGCCAGTACAATATCAGGATTAAATGGCAACATTATTCTGGAAAGTGCTGGTATAGTGAACGGAATACAAAGTGTGTGTGTGTGTGTGTGTGTGTGTGTGTGTGTTATAGTGAGTATCTACTCGTCCATCTTTGGCACTCTTCAGCTGCTCTGCCTGGTCTCCTGTCCTCTGATTGGCTACATCATGGACTGGAGAATGAAGGAGTGTGAGGCCGTGGTGACTTCAGCAGAGGGAGAAAAAAGGTGGAAGGTGGTGAAAGAGAAGGAGTGAAATGTTGAATTACTTTGATATGTCAGTTACATGGTTACCTTTTCCCTTTTGTTGTTTTCTTCAGTCTCTCTGGGCCTCCAAAGAGAGACAGAAAGATCCAGAAACTCACCAACGCCATCAGAGCTTTCATCCTTACTAACACTCTGCTAGTCATCTTCGGCATCATCTCCCTTATAGACAATCTACCCATACAGGTTAGACATAAGGTCACAAATGTGGTTATTTGTTCAGAAATACTGCAGAATGTTATTTCATTACAAATTATTTGAGTAATTTAAAGTTTGTATTATTTAATTTTTTTCATGTATAAATTAAAATGTGTAGCCTATATTTATATATAACGTTGTACTTAGACATGAATCTAATTTAATGTTATTTATATATAACTTTGCAGTCATACATAATTATAATTTATATAATTATATGGAACTTTGCACTCATACATAATCTTAATTAAATGTATTGCATACATTCATATATAACTGCACCTATTATTATAAGTATATTATTATATGCATTTCTCTTTCTGTTTCAGGTGGTGTCTTTTGTTCTTCACACTGCAGTTCGAGGTTTTATTCATTCCTGCTGTGGTGGGCTCTACGCTGCGGTGTGAGTTTTACTTCTCATTTGAATTAGTGTTATTTTAGAATCATTGATATACTGTTATATTTTTGGTTAATATTGTGAATTCAGTTTATTTTTATATTTTTGTAAAGTTTAAATAACTGCTACAAATGGCTCAGAAAGTTGGCTGTGTGTAATATTTGCTCTTTATTTTATCCTCAAACTGTTTATTTGTATATTTAGCTACCCAACTAATCACTTTGGCACTCTGACGGGCTTGCAGTCCATGATCAGTGCTGTGTTTGCCCTCCTACAACAACCACTCTTCATGTGGATGGTGGGACCATTGAAGGGTGATCCTTACTGGGTGAGACAGACATTGTTGAGTGTAATACACTATTCATGCACAAAGCAAATGCGTATTTGTATTTAAATAGTGCAGTTTCACAGAATCATTTTGGTCAAAGTACCAAAAATGCCACTTTTTGAATCAACAGATCAACTTGGGCCTGCTTGTGTTCTCATTGGTTGGATACCTGCTGCCAGGATACCTCTTCTACCACCGGAGACAAATTACAAAAGAGAATACAGCACGTGATAGTCTGTCAGTGAGCCAGTCAGCGCAAGAGAGCAACAGCCTAAACCAAACAAATGATTCTGCAAAATATCAAACGAACGGGAACGTGGAAAACATTTAGTATTGAGATGAATGTGAATTATAAACCTGATTTTTGAGTTATGGTATCATGGCACTTCAGAAACTGGGCTTCATGTTCAGTCACTGTAAAGACTTGACAAATATAAAACAGTGGTAAAAAGCAAGCAAATGTGCAATTTAAAGCATCAGTCAAGGCTTTGACTGTGTGACTGGGCAGGATGTATTTTCAAGACTTTTATTATCAATCAGAAAAACATTATGCCATGACCTTCAATATATAGTTTGCAGTTTTCTTCATTGTTATTGCATTGACACTTTGAAATATCCATTAAAATGGTAGTTAAATATGATCGAACACATCTAAACTTCCTCCCGTGAAGCACCTCCTGCCTCGTCACTTATGTTAAAAACAGTATGAAATCAAAATTTGCTTTATTTACTTTCTTAGGAAAATCAAGTGTTATTGTGCACAATTTATCAGTGCACATTATACCAAAGACAATCATTTTGTGTTCATAATCTTTTATCAAATCTTGATCTAACTTGCTGAGATACTAAGGGGAACCTGACCTTCAGTCTCCATGTCTCGATCAAAAAGCCTCTATGGCGGAGGTTTCGGGAGAGTAGCTCACAATTAACTGTGAACTCTTATTCTACCATGTTATGATCTTCATTTTGTATGTGCAGGACACAGACACATTCAAATTCATATTAGTATGCATAGTCAAAACGTTTTAAACCATTTACGGAATGTAGAGAATGTAACGTTTTTCTGTACGGGTAAACCCAATCTCCCTTCAAGACTCAGGTAAATGAGGCAGGGCTTCATGAAATGCTCACTTTACCTTGACATGGATCCTTTTAATTTTAAAACGTTGGTCGATTCTTTTTTTTTGTCATCCCTCTCTCACAAAAGTTGATGGAAATGCAGCTTTATATTACAAATGGTATTGCAGAGGCCAGTTTTGCACTATATTCTTTGTTTCAAAAGTGCTGTTCTGTATGTTACAGAACTGTAATCATGTTATCAGTTTCAATGACTCTACTGATTTTTCAACATAATGGTGTGCTCATGTCTTTAAATATGCCTGAAAGAAAAAAATCTAATATATTCAAAGATTTTCTCACAAATCAGCCCATTTCTTAGCTGATTATTTATTTGTAAAAAAAAGATTCTAAAAAAAGTTGAATGAAAAATGCTCCATCATTCATCATACTCAAGAGGCACTTAGACACTTACAAATACAACAGATGTGATGTTTACCAGGTGTTCTGGTACATTACATAATGATATACTCTCACACATATATACACACATCTGCCATCTGACTCACTGTAACATTAAATCTGTGACGTCCCAGAAAAGGCCCAATTGTCCAGCTTGTGCTTCTCTTCTTTCTTCATTCCTCTTGTTTTTCTGCCACTGAGGCAGTTCTTATCTCAAGCTGCTGCTGGGCTGAGCCCCAGTCATGCCTGGGTGATCATGGCTATGGCGATTCTGCAAATGGAGAAATAACAATACTGTATACATTTTATTGTATTTATCAGAGATATCAGGTGTACTATTTATCACAATTTAATTACTAATGCATTAATGTATGATAATGTATAAAACAAATAAAAAAATACTCTACTGTGAAAAGCTTTACAGTCAGTACGATTTTAAAATAAATTAATACTTTCATTCAGCAAGGATGCATTAAACGCATCAAAAGTGACAGTAAATACATGTATAAATGTGAAATTTGTATTTCTGAAAAACGTGGCTCTTTTGAACTCTATTCATCAGAAAATCCTGAAAAAAACATGGTTTCAATAAAACTATTAAGCAGCACAACTGTTTTCAACATTGATACTAATATGAAATGTTACTTATTAGATTGATTTCTGAAGAATCATGTGACACTGAAGACTGAAGTAATGATGCTGAAAATTCAGCTTTGCCATCACAGGTATAAACCACATTTTAAAATAGAAAGCATTTACTTTAAATTGAAATAATATTTCACAATATTACTGTTTTTACTCCATTTTGATCAAATAAATGCAGCCTTGGTGAGCATAAGAAACACAGAAACATTAAAAATCTTACTGACCCCAAACTTTTAAACAGTAGTGTAGAAGAATTCTTATAAATTAAGGCCATGTGTAATCTGTACTGTCATATAAAGACCATAATAACTCCAATTAACCTTCTTATTATTATTATCTTTCTTCTTTTTCTTTCTGTCGGTCATCGTCCTTCTTTTTCTTCTTCTTCTTCTTCTTCTTATGGTCTGAATCGGACGGAGTTTCTGTGGTAAAGATGTGAGTTTGACAGTTAAGCTTTAAGAAAGCACACGTTCATTTCTTTGTGTTTGTCCGTCACCTGGCTGTAAGGGATCCTGAGGCCGATGATGTTTATGCTTGTGCTTGTTCTTCTTCTTCGGTGGTTGAATATGCATCAGTCTATACTGCTCTGGTAACTTTGTCAGGGCAGAGATCATGCATGCAAAACAACAACAAACGTCTGACCCACATAACCATTCACTATCAACGCTGTCTAAGAAAGACATAGACAAACCTCAGAGTACAGTCAAAGCAGAGGCAGCATCAGTTACACTTGCCCCCCTAAATGCAAAGGGGATCCTTCTTTTGTCTCTCTCATACACCCACACACACACACTTACAGGACCAGTGTGTAGCCTGACGCAGGTGAGCATAGCCCCAGTGAGAGGACTGAACGAGTTGAGAGAGCGCATAGAGCTGTTGTCCTGAATGCCTGGGCTGTCGATCATACCTGCCCTTACGAAAAAGAAGTTTATTCAAGTGTGCTATTAGTAAACAGAAGGATCAAAACATGGTGTAGTTTCAATACAGGTATTGGAGTAACCCTTGTAGGTAAAGTGCATACTGTGCAATTTTTTTTGTGCACAAGGCTTAAAGGGATAGTTCACCCAAAAATGAAAATAAAGAATGTTGGTAACCAAACTGTTGACAGTAGCCATTGACTTCCATAATATCATTTTCCATACTATGGAAGTCAATGGCTACCGTCAACTGTTTGGTTATCAACATTCTTCAAAATATCTTCTTTTGTGTTCAAAAGAACAAAGAAACAAGTGGAGGGTGAGTAAATAATGACAGAATTTTCATTTTTAGGCGTACTATGCCTTTAAGATTGTAGAACTTGCTGTAGAATCGGCAGTGAAAGGTAAAAGTACACATACACACCAGGAAGCTCAGGGAGGAAGTTGCTGAGTTTCTCCTTCACCTTCTTCCCACAGAACTTGTTATAAGCATGCTCCAGGTTGTAGTGTGTGATGAGATTCGTGTGTCCTGTCACTCATTCTCCACTGTGAAGAAGACATGAGAGGGTTATCAGGTTCATGAAGGTGACCAAAACAGCTCTATTAACTCTAAAATAACCCACTACCAAAATTTACCTTGGTAACTAAAGTTTCTCAATCTTTTTGACTCCAAGGCTAATCAGTTTCCTCTGGTACATCTGCTGTAATGACAATGTTTTGTTTTCAAAAGTTGATTACAACAGATTATCATAGATTACAAGTACCAAACAATAATTAAAATTAAATAATTAAATTTTAGAATTCCTGAAGTTCTAGATGTAAAATTTTCTTAATGGATCCCACTCTTTTTAACCAATATATAGCTAGAGGAACGGTGTGTAATGCATATTCAATATAAAAATGGCCAAATAATTGTTGAGTAAATTTTCCACACCCAGATATCACACTTTTAAAACACTT